GTTGGTAAACATCTACCAGACTACACAGCGCAACAACCCAGAAGACAGAAATCTTCATACTCACTGCTGTGAAAACCTCAAATCTTACAAGTCTTTATATGGTCATCATTCAACATCGTCTTACGTTCTCTATTTTATATGATTTGTGCAGCAAAACAACGAAGTTGAATAAAATATTTGTCTTTCGCGTCATATATTTCTATCTCTTACATGTTCTTCGCTGAATTTTTTAGGGGCAATGGATTTATGCAGAAGTGGAAATATTCTCTTTCTTTTTTTTCCCCAGTCTTCAAGTTAAAAATGATGAAATGGGCAAAGAGGTGGTATAAGAAATTAGTTGCTAGTGGATATAATTTTTTTTTTCGTTTTCCAGAACGCCGTTGTGTGCACCAATCACATTACCGAGGATGAGGAAAAGGGGGAGAGAGAGACATAATAATCATCATTTTACAGCGAATGAATGGGTATGGAATTCCACGCGCGCTTTCAACACATCAGAAATTACGTGTACCCCAGTAAGCGGCATTAGCATGATGAGGTGGTCCAGAGGGAAAGGGACCTTCATGGAGGAACGGGTGATGACAGAATCTCCTCCACCCACCGGCTTTAATCTACACTCCAGCCACAACACAAACTGAAGTCACTGACTGACCCTTTTTCAGTTAATTGAATTTTACAGCTAACACGCCACTAGCATTACTGTTATTGTAGTCGCTTCTTTCAAGTTCAGTTTATTTTTGAAAGGGAAATGCAAAATAAAAGTTCCACTCTTCTTGAAGGGAAAACAAACATTTCTCTCGGGATTTCAGATTCAACTTTTCCGATCCATTTGATGCCTCTGAGTAATTTGACTTTAAAGAACTGTCATTACAAAAGCAACAGTATCGATCAGCAATTGCCAAGAGAACGTTTGCTCTGTGACCTTATGAAAGGACAGTCTTGTCCAATAACAAGGTACCTCGACGTAATAGAGTCATTCTTGTGAAACCAATAAGTGGCTCAGATAGTCGAGAGTACCCTAGTCTTTTATGGAACTCGAAGGTTTACTACTGTGCTCACAAGAATCCTCTACTGGCTATATCCCGAGCCAGATTAATCCAGTGCATATCCTTCGGCCACAACAATGGTGAATCGTAGTCCGGAAGTCAATTCGATGTAATTTTTATTATATTCCCAAACAATCGATATATAATTGTAAGGTATTTTAATAAATTACATTAAGACACGGTTGTGTTATATGGCAAAACATTTTATTTATTTCAGTTTCAGCTGTCCCGCTGAGCACTTTTCGCTAGAAAGCAGTAATCGACATTGGTTATTGTCTATTAATTTAACATTAAACCTCACATTTAGTCCAAGAAATCCGACGTGATCTGTTTCTCTTCAGGTTTTCCGGCAAGAATTCTGAATAAATTTTCCATCGCTTTCATGCGTGCTACATACCCCGCCCGACTAACCTTCCTTGATTTATTTCCAATAATAATATTGAGTGAACAGTACAAATTATTAAGTTCTTCATTATACAATTTTATTCATCATTCTGTTGCCTTCTCTTTCTTTGGGACAAACATTCTTCTCAAATACCCTCAGTCTATAAGATTACCTTCATTTAATGACTCAAGTTCCAAACCCTTACAACTTTTCTATCTTTTTAAGCATTAAATGATTTAACACGCAAAGGAGTATGTCTGATAGCTCTCTTTGTAAGGAACAGGACAAAAATAAAGCAGATCATAATAATTTAAAAGTAATAAAATTATTAATTCATCGCATCCACTTACGTCTCCGGTCTCTACTCTTTGGGTCGGTTGCCGTGGCTTTATTAGACGATTATCAGTTCATATTTTCTTTGTGCTTATAACTTCAACGCCCTAGCTACTGGAGTACAGGTCAAGATGACAACACTTATTATAAAATGGCTCTGGCTGTGCGTGATGGTAAATCACAATATCAACTTCTACCTCTTTTAACTATTCTGACCAAGACCCCAGTAACTCAGAGTTGGCCCTCAACGAACGAGGTAACGCGTTTAGGTTACACGCTACGAAGCCTGTGACACATTTTATGGTATGCGCCACTCGACGTTTCTCACTGTCATAAACATAAGTGTAAATCCATCATTCATATTGTTAAACATTCAGCCGTCTGCCGGAGACGCATCGGTCTCTCCTAGCATCGGACATAATAATTAATTGCATCCATCAAGTCAATAACCTCGCGCTTGTTTCGCGGGGTAACGCCCCAACACATGGGAGGAGCCGGTGTCAATCAGCTGGCGCCACGGCGTGTCTGCTAACGAATCATCTCGCCGAAGCGTTTGCTTGCCACACTTGTGAAGAGACAAGATGATGGTGCCCCTTGGGAGACATGTGCTGTCGCGAGGGGAAAGGCGGTGGGCCCAACACTTCAACTGGAAAACAGCCCAAGTCCTCAACACGACAGAAGAAGTTACCGTTTCGTTAAACACGTATTCGCAGAATTTATCTTTAAGATATATGATCAGGGTCGTCATGCCATTAGTGGGACGTGAAGCACGCATCAGAGTGACGAGAAATTTATACACAAAATTTAGTCAGAAAACCTGTACCGCTTAAGAGTTCTAAGCGCAGATGAAACGACAATATTAAAATATATCTAAAATAAATGGAGTCTCAGGATGTAGAATGGATTTGTTTGGTTGAGGATGAGGTACAGAGTAGACTTGTGAGCACGGTAAAGAATTTCAGATTGCAAAATAGCACGATACTTGTCTTCTCAAGGAAGAGTTTGCTCCTTGGAGTTAAATAGTTTTTGAAGTAATCGCTGTAATTTCGGTCCTCGTGAGATGATGGAAGCTTATCTTTCCCGCTGTGCTAGGCTAATCCACTGGTATACCGTGAACGTTTACTGCGAGTGTAAATTAGCCGCATAGCAGCACTAATCATTTCCGACCACCAAAGAAGTCGTGTTTGAATGAATTTGGTTGGCTTCACATCCCCATTACCCCTTCATTTTCATCTTCGCCCTTAAGAAACAGTGTTGGGGCAGCTGTTTATTTTTATCTTCGTCCTATATGCAATCGATTATTTCTATGCATTGTAAGCTGTAGAAAATGAGACAGGAATTAAAATAAAGGCGAGAGTGAGCGAGTTATCGAGTTACTGGAAGAATAATTTTGTAACGGTGTGAGTGATGGCGATGAATCTTGACCGATACAGTCCATAGATAGGCCTATGTTTGTCAACCGAAACACATAAAATGCATGTATATACGTTATGATCAAATGCTTACAGATGGACTTGGTGAGTTTTTGCATGTGACGCCTACAATTGTGGAGCTGAAGACATTCCCCTCCGATAATATTTAATTGCGTTCTTCTCGTCACTCTTGGTGGAAACGCCTTCTGTTTTCCTTGCACGTGGATGTTATGTCCACAGAAGCAACGGGCCGTCTCCACTATAATTTGTGACTCAAGTGAGATTACAAGTCTATAATTTAGATTACGCTCTGTCCTGGGTGCAGACGGGAACAATATCTGCTTTCACCGCAATCCAAATTGTTCTTTGTAAAGCTTAGTATATGTCGTCATATGAATAACAGCAGCTTCTGTCGTTCAGGATATAAAATGGAACACAAAGCCAAATTATATACGTTTCATAAATATTCTGTTATGATGGCAAACATTTCCTAATACGTCAAGTAAAATAAAAATAATGTTTCGAACGGCAACTAGGTCAGATAGGTTTGTTTATGAAACACCTGAGATCATCAGCCACACCAATGGTTTCTGAGAATGCGTCTGGTCGAAAATGAATACACTCTTTTAAATTTAAAAAAATTGTAAACTTTGGTTTTTAATTTAAACTGCGCACGGTCACATGTCTCAATTACGCGACTTTTAAATAAAGTATGTATTCCTTACTGGGGATCTATCAAACACAAATTATCAGGTAATGTCGAAACACAAAATGAAGAAAATTAATAAAAATCGGTTTCAAAACTCGGGTCGTAAACAACTATCCCAACTGACATGTTCGTGGATTTTCATATTTTCTCCGGGTAAAAGATGTGACAACGCCTTAAATCGACCACGACAGCTTCCTTATAAATTCTTCTTAATTCATATTTCATATATCATCCCATCATTTTATGGTGCATAACCAATGTAGCTGAAGAAACATCGTCAAAATAAATTAATGCACAGCCACAAACAAACAATGACATTTCATCGTAAACGTATCTTCAGTACATTGATACAGCGTATTGTGAGGGCACAGAAATGGCATTTAGAAAATTGTCGCGACCCCCGGTGGTTCCACGTGCCACTAAATCCGCAGCAAACCCGTGGGGCCAATAAATTGGCTGCGGCTGAAATTGCAACCCCGATCCTTTCGCCCCAATCTCGCTGGCCCCCTGGATACAGCGTGCGTCGTCTCCATTCCAACACCCTGCAGCTGGATGGATGTGGTTATGAGCTTCATAACTGCGAGGGCAAACCCGGCGACCACATTATTGGAATGCTGGGAATCTGCAGTCCAGAATCCTGGCAAGCCCTCGACAAATAATGATCTCTCATCCATTTCCTGTTCTTCATCATCGTCGTCATCTGCTCCTGCTTCTACTTTTCGTACTTATCTTTGTAGGTTTCGAGGCTATTTGTGTGTCGCATGTTCCAAACGGCAGATATCTCATAATACTGCTGAAGTGGACAGCCTCGAGTACTTGAGTCGCATTTCCGATAATTCAGATCGTGGGTTAATGCGGTTCCTGTATTTTTAACCTATCGGCATAGCAATCTCAGTGCTGTTGTACACGCATGGCAAAGGTTCTGATTTCGAAAGAAGTAATACGAAGAAGTTGGAAATAAATGAAATAAAATAATAATATTAAAATTTAAAAAAATTCAAATTAATGTTAGTCCTGTTCATATTTTTCAGTGTAGCAACAACAAAAAAAGTTTCTTAACTTCATATCTGTGATAAATGTATTATAAAGCAAGCTCATTAAAATCTAAACTAAATTACTTTGGTCAAAGTTTATTTGCGGAGATAAATATAGGACTAATACGCCTCCAAGGATAATATAAGTTTCGATAGCTTAATCGTGAGATTAGGAAACTGGTATAGATTTATTAACAAAAATTTCCATTTGGGCCCATCCAAATCCATTTAAGGAACGTAATGAAGTCTTTTAAGTACGTACTAAATAGACCTGAGATTTTCCTCTCTCTATAATTTGTCACTGTAAAAAACTCATATTCTTTCGGAAAATGCAACATTGTCGATTTCATATTGTTTCACCTTTTCCGGGTTACACCCTCTGACATGATAAAATTAAGAATTAACTTAGAAAAGTCTTAATCTTTAGATAGTTCGTAGGTGCCCCTAGACGGGTGATAGACCTGTGGCAAGGCTTCTACCTACACCTGACAGCACGACCCAGAGAATAGCGAACAAACAGCCTCGAATGGAATTCGAACCCAAAATTCCAGTATTCAAAAGATCCAAGACTCTTCCTGCCCCACATCTCGCGTGCCACTTTGACTGTCCGTTAGTATTTACGTATTGTCAGTCAGTCGGTCAGTCAGCGAGTCAAGTAGCCAATCATTTAACCAGTCAGCCAGTTAACAAGCCAGTCGTATACATAGACGTCACACACAGTGAAAATATGGGCTAGAATAAACTGACTCCGATTAAGTCCAGTGTAAAATTATTACGAACATGTTACTAAGAACATTAATGCACGTACTTAAATGACGGCTGATTAACATAAGCTATTTTTCCTTATGAGCCGAAGAAATGTTTTTAGAAACAAAGATTAGATGCAGGATATTCGTAGATCGGTGGTTCGTATTATTCCTTCCGATACAATCTCAGCTTTTATTAAAGGTAAAGTTATATAAGTTTGAATTTTTGAGAAGCATCACTATAAGTCTATTAATTATGTCTAGGTTACACCACATTTGTATTTCTTAAGCTACCTGTTTTGAAATTGTTTTATGTATCTATCTCTCTCTTTCTGTGTAATGTTAAAGACAGGTTTGCATATAATAAGATTCACGAAATCGAATTCTAATTCATTCAGAAATGTCTGTGTTATTTACGTAGCTATATGCGTTTCCAAAGCTACAGCATCACCATGTGCTTTGTTTCAAGCCAACATGAAGTAGGAGAGACCTCTCTCTGCAGCCTGGCACAAGACGACACCAGGCTGCTTCTTAAACTAGAG